TTTTACTTTAGAAATGGATAAATATATGTATATTTAAAAGTATACTTAAGTGTTTAAGTAAAATAAAGGTGATACGTGGACACTGATTGAAAAATATATGCCATGCTAATCAATTTATAAAAAAAGGTATGAAAAATTATTTTAAATAAATAGTAAGTTTTTGGAAATTCAGCGTTCACATTACATGAAAAATATATGCAAAGGATAAAAATTATTCATGACATCACTATACTCCCTTTATATATATCACTCATTCGATTACACCACCATTCCAGTTTGCCCCTGAAGAGGAAAGGTCCACCTTTCGAAATCGCTCGGGCTATAAGGTTTTATTCGTTTCTATCAAGACTTCTTGAACCTACGTGTTTTTCTAACATCATGAATGTGCGATACACGATATCCTTAACGTACCCCTACTTCCTTCCTGTACTGGTGTCTGTAATTTTGCTACAACACAGTCACTAACTTGGTCTCTGCAAGCTAAAGGACACATTGAGCTTTTTTGTATTTTTTTTGAACCACCTATATAGTTAAGACAGCTGATAGTAGGAGATGCAATGCCTTAAACATTTACATCTACAGTCTTCATCAAAGGTTTTCAACAAGTGGGCTCAACTCATTGGTGGATTGTGAGATCACCATGGAGCAAGACAACTATTACTGCTCTAAACTAATGAGTCATCAACTGCGTATGAGGTCCTTTACTACAGTACCAAATAACTAAGTGGCACTTGAGGGCGCAAAAGGTTGATAAACTCTGGTCTACATGATTTTAAATAATCACAATGATTTTTAATATATCTGGATGTAGGAAGGACTTGATTTACAACCCTCACTTTCTCTAAATTCAGATGGAATTTTGTGATGAACAATACTAGGATGTTTATATCAGATTGCATGCATCTGTGGAAGTGTAGGAGATCTATATGTAATTTTCACATAGTTTTCAAAGATTTTTGATCTTAATCAGCACAGGAGGAATATTAAACTGTGATAAGTTTAGTGAAAAGTCCTATAATAACGGGATGATGCCCGTATTCGTTTTCTGTGATGCTAACTGTACTGAGAGGATCAACTCACATATGAGGATATGCTGATAGTTTGGCAACTGGTGCTTATGGAGAGTGATAATACTTTACTGTTGAATATCGTACTTGGCTTGTGTCGATCTGTGTGTGTGTACTGATGTATTTTGTAGTGGATTGTTTTGAATTTGGCACAAAGCTACACGAGGGCTATCTGCGCTAACCATCTCCAATTTAGCAGTGAAAGACAAGAGGCTACTCTTTTACCAACCAATAGTGGGATTGATCGTAACATTATAACGCCCCTACGGTTGAAAGGGCGAACATATTTGGTGGGACGGGGATTCGAACCCGCGTAACCACATGAATATTGTTACGACAGCGGAAGTCACGTTTTATTTAAGAAAGGACTTGTATCGCTGAAGTTTCTCGGAAATAATTTCTACGGGAAATTAACAAACGAACAGAGACGTAACAAACTGGTGTCAGAGAGTGGGGCGGGAAAAAAAGAAAAAGAAGAAGATGGAAACAAGAGGTGGCAAATCAAACCACAGGAAGACACAGGAATTCGACGGGAAGGCACCATGAGAAGCACATATAGCACAATTTGAGCTCCTAGCAGAAATGAATGGATGGACAGAGGAGCAGAAGGCAGTGTACCTGGCAACAAACTTGAAGGGACAACCACTGGAAATACTTGGGCAGTTGTCAGCAGACGACAGGCACAACTATAGAGCACTGGTAGCTGCTCTAGAACTCAGGTATGGAACCCAAAATTAGTCTGAAGTCTACAGGGCTAGGTTTAGGACTAAAGTCCATGCTAAATTGGAGAGCCTGCAAGAACTGGCACAAAAGGCCTACCCAACTGCATCACCCGATGTCCTCAAGCTGTTGCTGAGGGA